GGCTGGGAGCCAGCTCTGAGCCGGGAGGTGCTGGCGGCTCTGGGCAGAGGTATCTCCTCCGGGGCATGGCTGGGCTGTATGGCTGGGCGCCCTGCCTGGGGCTCCCTTTTATGGCCACCTCTGCAGGCAGGGGCCGCGGTGCCGCCGCGCCTGCCAGCATCACGCAGGGAGCCTCATCCTCTTATGGAAGAGAGATGATGCGAATGCGCCGCAGTCCCCGGCCGGCCCCCCATGTGCTGGCTCCCCACCACCCCCGGCAGCCCTGGTGTCGCTTGCCCTGCTGGCGGCTGGGGCTGCTGGGGGACTGAAGGGGTTGCCCTGGGCAGAACCACTGAGCCTGCGAAGGCAAATATGAGAATAGGTTTGGGTTCTTTTCCTAGCATCTGTTCTGCCAGCGAAGGAGAGAGCTAGCTCTTTTTTTCATGCACTAAATGCTCCTTCCTCTTATCCTTGGATTTTTGAGATCACAACCCAGTGAACTGAAATTATGCGTTTTCTGTGGTTTTTGAACTGATGGGTTTGCTGTAGCATAAGCTGATACATTCCCTTCCCTGTTCGGGCTTGTTTCCATGGTGCTCTCCCCCCTGCTCCGCTGCTGCTCTTTCCTCGCCCCTGCAGAGCCGGGTGCTGGGGTGCTCCCCGTTACACCTGAGCTACAGCCAGCCCGGGGCGGGGGGTCTGCGGCAGGCGGGGGGCGGCAACAGGCAACGGCTTTGAGCGTACATTAGTAATGTAAATGGCATTGAGATGAGCAGGTGTACTTGTAGATGGGCTACGCAGAGGAGACGGTAGCAGCGGAGCAGCGAGATAGGACGACATTTGGCTCCAAATGTATTGCAGCCGTTACTGGATACCACGAAGTCATAAAGACGGTGGGAACTGGGAGGGGGCGACGCGCAGTGGGAGATGGCTGCTGAGCGTACATTAGTAATGTAAATGGCATTGAGATGAGCAGGTGTACTTGTAGATGGGCTACGCAGAGGAGACGGTAGCAGCGGAGCAGCGAGATAGGACGACATTTGGCTCCAAATGTATTGCAGCCGTTACTGGATACCACGAAGTCATAAAGACGGTGGGAACTGGGAGGGGGCGACGCGCAGTGGGAGAGAGCTGCTGGCTCCAGTACTGTGTCTCTGAGAAAGGCAGCGCGAGCCAGCAAGGGCTATTTGGGAAGGCAGAGAGTAAGCCTGGGAAGAAAGCCGGCTCTAGCAGCAATGGGATGAGGTGAAGCTGCAGAAAATGAAGATGCAAATTATAAAAATTGCCAGCCTGTTTCTTCGCATATAAAATCTCATAGTTGGAGCCCTCAGAGATATGCCGGTTCTTGACTTTGGCACTTGATTTACCACTCGGTGTCAGTCAGCGCATTAGGACTTTAAATGGTGCCACTGTGGATCTGGCCTGTAGCTTCAGCCAGGAGGGGTGTGCATGAAAGGCCATCATGGGAGGGGAAGGAGGACAGGTCCTTCCCATCTCCAACTCCTCAGGCAGTTCAGCATCCGACCCTTGGTGGGGTCCCGTAATTAGTGCCCTGGGCAAGCAGATGCTGCCCAGCCTGAGTGGGGATGCTCCCGCCAGCCTCTCAGCGCAGCCGCCCGGGGTGGCTTCCCCGGCTCCAGGGTGAGCCCCAGGGGCTTTGCACCGGCTGCCCCCCCAGCCCGCACAGGTCGCCGCAGCAGCCGTGCCCTTCTGCATGTCCCGCTGCTCCTGGGCCAGGCAGCAAGCACGGTGTCAGCAGGCAGGGTCCACGGCGAGAAGGGCAGCAAGAGGCTCGGCTTCGTTAATTAAATTGAAATTGAAAGGGAAAACAGCACTAGGTCTTTCTGAGCCAAAGGAAAAGGCAGGCAGCTGCTCTGCCCTTTTCAGTAATTGATCTTCAGCGGGAGCGAGAGGAATGAGGGGAGACTTGGAGTTGAAAGAAAGGGGCTTTGCAGCAAGCGCTCTGCTTGCTCTTGAGGTGATCTTCTCCGAGAGCCGAACAGCGATTTTTCACATCAAAATCGAGTGCTCACAGCAGCAGTTCCCGTGGCTCCTCTCTGAGCTCTGGTAGCTTTTGCTTCTCTGGAGTATTTTCTGCCCCAACGGGTGTCAGCCTGGGCCATACTCAAGAGAGAGGCCCTCCTGGGCAGTTTGCTGTCTCCTGTGCTGGAAGCCTCTCTGGGTTTGGGGAAAGGCCCCGGGTTTTACCCACCCGCCCCTGACCGCAGCAGCGCTGCCGTGAGGAGCTCGCTTGGAGGGAGGAGCGCGTTTTGGTCCAGGCTGGCCCCACAGCTGACTTTTCTGGAGCTCCTTTTTGCTGGGGGAGGTGGCAGAGCTGCTTGCAATGAGGGGCAGGGCCGCTCTGCCAGCACGCTCTCGCTGACAGCTGGAGCTGGGGAAGGCACATCCACATGTCTGACATGGGAAGGCTCTCCATGGCGTCCACCGCCTCCCCTTGGTCCTGCCTGCTCCTCTCTTCTGGCCTTTGAAATGGGGGCAAAGTCTCCAGTTAAAATACCTGGGAGTATTTTTCATTTTCCCTTTGGCAGAGTTCACTTCTGGGTGACTTCAGCAGGCTGGCTGAGTGATATTCTTGCTGTACGGAGCAGCTGAAGTTAAGAACTAAGTGTCTTATTTTTTCCAGTGTGATCAGTTCACCTGTCACAGAAACACAGGATGGCAGGGACCTCCTCTCTGGAGGTCATCTGGTCCAAACCCCTGCTCGAGCAGGGCCACCTAGAGCTGGTTGCCCAGGACTGGCTTTTGAACATCTCCAAGGAGGGAGACTCTCCCTCTCTGAAGATTTGTGCTTCCTTAGAGCTGCCTCTGGGCTGGGTGCACTTTCAACTGCTGAAGTTGGAAGACATCCACATGCATCTGGTTTCTAAGTATGCCCGAGTCTACTTGGTCTCTGCCTGTGTGGATCTGGTGAATTTGCCCAGCTTCCAAATTAGGGTGATTGCCTTCCCATCTCTTCTGCTTCTTACCCTTACCCATTCCTTCAGAGCAGGGCATGTGCCCTGGGAAATGCAGGACAGCACTTTGTTGATCCCTTGGGAACAACCACCTCCCGGTGACTGTCACTGCCAAAATCCTCACCACTGAGGTGAGGCAGTGAGCAGATATTGGGACTCATGGACATTCAAGTCCTAGTATGGAGGAAACCGTCTACCTCTTGGTGAAAACGTGTCTGCAGTGTGGGGAGGAGTAAGTGCAATAGGGTACAAAGAGAAAAAGCAGCATAAGTGGATGTGAGCTGAGAGATTTTTGTTGGCAGGTTTGAGACGGAGGCAGAGGCAACGCGCAGGGATGTCAAGGGCCATCGGTTGGGATATTTTGCATTGACTGGCCTCAGGAGAGACAGTGATGTCCTATGAAGTGCATTGCTTGAGTTTTGGGAAGAAGTGCTTGAAGGAAGGGGAAATGTGTGGGCTTTCTCCTCTGGTGTCCCTCTTCCCTGCCGGCCCCTGCAGGAGAAGCCACAGCTCCCTCACAGTCTGCAGGCT